CTACAGTTCTTTATCAGATGTAGGATAGTTGAGGGTGGATCCTCCCAACTTCTCACTAAAAATTGCTACTGGTTTCTTGTCTTGGGTTAGTACTACTACAATGCCATCACATTCCACTTTAAAGATTTTGTTGAAGTCAGGCAATAATAGTTCTGGTGCATTTGTTAGCTTTGATTTTCTCTGGCCATACTCGAATAGCTTTGATTTTCTCTTCATCAACTTGTAATCTCTGTGAACTTACAATAAAATCTAGGATAACTAGTTGATTATTGCAGAATGAACACTTCTTCAAATTTGCATAAAGGTCTTCTTGTCGAAGAGTCTTTTATACATGTTAAAGATGTGTCATATGATCAGATAAACTTTTCCTGTAAATTAATATATCATTGAAGTAAACAAAAACAAACTTACTGATATATGCCCTAAGAACTTGGTTCATTAGGCGCATAGAGGTACTTGGAGCATTGGTGAGCTCAAATGGCATTACCATCCATTCATAGAGTCTTTGTTTTGTTTTGAAAGTTGTCTTCATTCGTCGCCTTCTTTCATCCTCACTTGGTGGTATCAAATCTTCAAATTTATTGTAGAAAACAAAGTAGAACCACTAAGCTTGTCAAGCATATCATCTAACATTGGTATTAGATGTCTGTTTTTGATGGTAATATTGTTGATGGCTCTACAATGTACACACATCCTTCAAGAACCATTTCTTAGGTACTATTAAAACCGATACAGCACAAGGAGTAAGGCTCTCCCTTATGAATCCTTTGTCTAATAGTTCTTTGACTTGTTTCTCTAGCTCCTTGGATTTTTCAGGGCTCATGCGATATGCTGGCCTTTTAGGTATGGCAGCTCCAAGAATGAAATCTATTTGGTGTTCAATACCTCTAAAAGAGGGTAATCCCTAATTCATATCCTCTGGAATCACGTCTTTAAATGTGTCAAGTAGTTGAATGATCTCTGGTGGTAAGTCTAATGCTCTATAACCTGCGCTCAAGACCTCATAAAAGATTATAGCATTGTATGTTGAGAAGCAACAGCTTTCCTCACATGGCTAGGCTGAATAAGGAAAATAGACTTAAGAGCTAATTTCTTTTTTTTTAACCATTTGCATTTGTAAATCATGCACTTGAGATGGAGAGAGAGGTGCTAAGCTAACTTTACGTTTTTCATGCATAAAAGTATACATATTAGTTTTGCCATCATGCTTAGTTTCTCTATCAAATTGCTAAGGTCTACCAAGCAATATATGACCCGCTTGCATGGGAACTATATCACAAATGACTTTATCTTGATATCTCCCTATACTCAATGATATGATTATTTTATCGCAAATTTTTAACTCGACCTTGTCATCGAGCCACCTTAGCCTATAGGGCCGTGGGTGATTATTTCTCTCAAGGCCCAGTTTATCAACCATGTGGGCACTTGCAACGTTTGTACAAGACCCACTATCAATAATTAGATTACATACCTTGCCTTTCACAGTGCAGCGAGTATGAAATATTTTTTTTCCTTTGTATGAGCTCGGTTGGTTCCACCATTTCAGAACTCTTCTAGTGACAAGAAGCTCTCTTGAGTCTGGGTACTCTATGAAACCGTAGTCATCTTCTGGTTCAGCATCTTCTTCATCGTGAGATTCATAATTTCCAGCATCGGTAATGTGCATGACCCTCTGATTGGGGCATTCTCTTTGCATATTCCCTCGGCCTTGGATTTTTAGTTTCTTTGCTTTCTTGCTTGCATTGCCTTTCTGGAGATATATTTCATGTACATTCCCCTCAAAATTTTTATTTATTTGCATGCTTGCTTTCATTGTCCTTCTAGAGATATATTTTGTGTATATTCCCCTTTGAGTGTGTATTTATTTGCTTCTTGGTTGCATTATCCTTCTGGAGATATACTTTTTGTGCATTCCTCTCGGGGTTTCTGTTTTTTTCTTGTTTGCTTGTGTTACCCTTCAGATATTTCGTGTGCATTTCTCATGAGATTCTTGTTTCTTTGCATGCTTGTTTACATTACCAATACAGGAACATGTTTTTTTTAGTAGCTTTCGAAGCTCGTATGCCTATGCAATTGTAATCATTTCATTAACATTCATAAACATCTCTCTATTGCTGCATATATCATTTGTCTTGCAGGGTGATCTATATGACCGCCCTAGTCATCTCGTAACTTAGTATTATCTCTCCATCTTGGTCTTCGCCAGCTCCTTCCAGGTACAATCCCAGTTCTTTTGCATACTCCTTCACGGACTTGCTTGTGCTTCGGGGTATTGTTCCTCCGGGAATCAGGGATGGACTCTTTTGAGAGCGTCTTTTTTCTTTTTCTTTATCTGATCGCTCTCTTCGGGGAAAGTCAAAGATGGCTTCTCAAAACCATCAAACTTTCAGCGTAGACACAACACAAATACTGTCCATGCAGTTATAGATCCGGGGTAACGTCTCCGAGAAACACCTTGCTTGCCACAAGCTGGTACGCACATGTTACATAAAACTCCCTAGTGTTAGGGCCCTGTGTATAAGGACAATCTTTTTTCCCTCTCAAGACTGCCCCGCGGCTCTTGAACAGGTATCTCATAAGTGTTGATGCGTTTTCGTGATCCTTGTGGTCAGTCACGACTACACATTCTCTATCAAACCAATAGGTAAGGAAGGTACCTCCATCGCCTAGCGCCATGCAAAGCGATGCGGGTAAAGCACTCCAAGGAGAACTCCATCTTGGACAAAGTCACTTGTTTCTCTGAAAACCACGTTTACCGATTCCAACATAGCTCGTACTGTCCTGAAATGCACGGCCAATCGGGATAAATCTTGTCTTATCTAGTCCTGCACCAAATCCTTCGGGTATAAAAATTTTATGTATATTTTACAGGAACAGAAAACGAACAAGGATTGGCTCCCTGCCTCCTTGAAAAGAACACATGCAGGAAAAACTGTTAGGACCAATTTCCCGATAGTCAATTCCATGCCTCCACGTAGAACATTGCTTTTTGAGTAAAATTATTTACAATTTAAAACCTACTTTATATAAAAAAAAAATTTCAATTGAGATAGTTCTGTATTTGGAAGCCAAACTAGTATTATTCTATATAAGAAATAAAAACGAGTTCCACTTATTTGGATTACTGAATTGTTCTAGGTATTGATACAGTTGACCAAAAATAAAAATTAAAATTAAATAAAGTTAAAATAAATTTTATACTAAAATAAAATTTAGCTTTATATCAACTTTAATATAGGGTTGGAGATGGTTTTACATATAAGTTCATCTGTTTTTCGTTTCTTTTTGATCATGTAAATTTTTAAATATATATATATTACTATATTATCTCGAACCTTTTTTAGAGAATATAAAATGTAATATTTAACAATAAAAAAAGAAAATATAATATTTTTCTTTATTTAATTTTTCTGAGTTATGTAAGTTTACATTTAGTTTATCACTTTTTGTCAAGTTTTCTATAATTGCTCGAACCTTTCTTTTTATAACAAGGTGTTATATTTGTCACTAATTTAACATTTAAAAAAAATCATTGGCTTACATTTTTCTTTGTTTAGGGGGATTATTGGGAGATGGATTGATTTGAAGTTATATAATTCTAAAAGTTAAGAGATTTGTTAAATTTGTAAATAGTTTTGTTATATTTGGAAAGAGTTTGTATATTTAGAAAATTTATAAAAATATTTTAATATAACTAATTTTGAGAATCTTAAGGATATAGTTATTATTTTGAAAGTTTTATCTTTTAATGTCATTGATTTTGAGAACTTTAAGGATATAGTTAGTATTTTGAAAGTTTTTCATATTAAAAAAATTATAAAAATATTTTAATGTGATAGATAGTAAATATTTTGAAAGTTTTTTCTAATCGTTAGGTATTATAACGTAAATATATATATATATATATATATTTAAATTATATATTTTTATTTATTATTAGTTGACCATATAATTTTATTTATTTAATCAATGAGAATATATTAAATAGAAGTAAATTCCTATTTAAAATTTAATTTTCAAATTTGGAAACAGAATGAAAAAGTTTTGAGTAATTTTTTACAAAAATAATACTTAATTTGTATCTGTACTGTTTTGAGCAACGAACCATTCTCTTGATTGCAGTTTAAAAGAAAAGAAAAAGAAAAAAAACTAATGGTGGTGATACAAAATATATATTTATTTTAAAAACGTGCGTTACATTTTAGATTTTCATCTTTGCATGTACTATTTGTTTGCTAGAGACGCGTAAAATATTTTATTCATAAAAGCGTTAACTTCAATTTTGGTTTTGTATATGATATACGTTACTTGATAAAAAAAAAAAAAACTCTAGCTATATACATCCTTGGTCGTAGACATTTAATATCAGCAGTTGCACCAACAACAGAGTAAAGGACAAAAACTATAAATCATTGCAATATTACTTGAAAATGATGTGGAATTCGACAGAAATTAAAAATTAAAAAGAATACGCTAGAGACAATTTTTATCAAAATGTTTATAAAAGACTTGTATCACAATCATATGAAAGAAGAAACAAATTTGCATTATTTTTTTCAAATTAAAAAACTTACCTCAATTCGTTGACCCTTCACTGTCCTCCAATGGCGGCCCCTACGCCGTTGGCCTTGCCTCTCTTTCTCTCTTTCTTCCATCTCTTTCTCTCTCTCTCTCTAAAAAGCTCAAATAGACCAGCAAGCAAAATAGTCCAAAAAGAAACAAGATAAGAAGAAACCAAACTCACAAAGAAACAAAAAGCAAAAAAAGAAGAAAATCCAATAAAAATAAAGATTTAAAGGTGGGGAAAAAAGTCGCCTTTTTAACACCTCATTCCCTCTTTCTCCGGCACTCTGTATAACGAAAAACGAGACCAAATAAGCAAACTTTAGCTCTCCTTTTTGTGTTTTCTCTCCTCCTTTTCTTTTCTCTTTTTGTTTCTGACTATGGAGGAAGAAAGTAGTAGTTGGTTGATTCCAAAGGTTCTTCTTTTGTCTGTAATGTTTAGTCTTGTAATGGTGAAAGGCATGTCTCTGCTTTGGTGGAGACCCAGAAAGATCGAAGAACATTTCTCCAAACAAGGAATTCGAGGTCCTCCTTATCATTTCTTCATCGGTAATGTTAAAGAACTTGTTGGAATGATGCTTAAAGCTTCTTCTCATCCTATGCCTTTCTCCCACAATATTCTTCCCAGAGTTCTCTCTTTCTACCATCACTGGAGAAAAATCTATGGTTCGTTCTCTTTTTCCAGATTCAGGTCTTTAAAATTTGACAACAAAGACCACAAGCCTCTTTTGTTTACTATTTTCTCTGTTTTGGTTTTTGTTTAGTTCTGTTTTTTTTTTTCATATTTCTGAGATTTAGGTTCCTTCATCTTCAACTTCAGATGAAATTTTGTTTTTTGGAGGTTGGAAACTTTGTGATTTGGTTCCGATTCTCTGTGAAATGTTGAGCAGTGAGTTTTCAAGTCAAGCAATACAAAAGGATTTTGTTTTATTACCCAAATTAAAAAATATATGTTTTTATTTTTATGTGTTTTGTTTTGTCATGATCAAATTATGATGTCAGTACTTTGATGTGAAAAAGGAGGCTCTGTTCTTCCCCACTCTTTCCTCACGGGCTTAGTCATCATTTTTCCCCTCTGTTAACTCTTGTCTTCTCTCTTTGGTCTATTGCAAAAAAATAAAGAAAATTAAAGTTTTGGTTTCTGTGCTGTGAATTAAATTGCAACAATTTGGCAAAATATAGAAGAGCACTTGGGCATTAATTCCATCACCCTCTTATTATCAAATTTCCCACTTCAGAATCTGTTCATGTTTACTGCTCCTTTTGTCATGTTTTGTCTAATTAATTAAGAGGAATTAAAATTTATTTTCAGGTGCTACATTTCTCGTATGGTTCGGACCAACTTTCCGGTTAACGGTGGCGGATCCGGATCTGATCCGAGAGATATTTTCAAAATCTGAGTTCTACGAGAAGAACGAAGCTCATCCTTTGGTTAAGCAGCTTGAAGGCGATGGACTTCTAAGCCTCAAAGGCGAAAAATGGGCCTATCATCGCAAAATCATCAGTCCTACTTTCCATATGGAGAATCTCAAAGTAATTGAACTAAACCATTGTACATGAAATTCGATGTTTGGTTTTGTTTTTTTATTCTCATTCATTTTGTTGGGCAGTTGCTTGTACCGGTTGTGTCGAAGAGTGTTACGGAGATGGTGGAGAAATGGTCGGAAAAGTTATCGGAAAACGGCGATGTTGAGATTGATGTCTATGAGTGGTTTCAGATTTTGACTGAAGATGTTATAAGTAGAACAGCTTTTGGAAGTAGCTATGAAGATGGCCGAGCGATTTTTCGACTTCAAGCTCAACAAATGATTCTTTGCGCCGAAGCTTTTCAGAAAGTTTTCATTCCAGGTTACAGGTAATTCAATTAAGTCAAGTTTTAGAGTCTTGGCATTGAGAAAGAGATGAATTTTTACATGTTCTGGTCCAGGTCCGAGGAAATAATTTATGGTCGGTCTAATTTACTTATATGGTCCCGGTCCGAGAAGACTAATTAATTTTCGATTTTTGTTTTTCAGATTTTTTCCAACGAAAGGGAATCTCAAATCATGGAAATTAGACAAGGAGATCAGGAAATCTTTGTTGAGGCTAATAGAGCGGCGGAGAAAGATCGCCGGCAAAGGAGACGGTGAAGAAGTTAAGGAGCCGGAGCCAACGGCGAAGGATTTGCTGGGTTTGATGATTCAGGCGAAGAACGTGACGGTGCAGGATATTGTAGAGGAGTGTAAAAGCTTCTTTTTCGCCGGAAAACAGACAACATCCAATCTGCTGACGTGGACGACCATCTTGCTAGCCATGCACCCGGAGTGGCAGGCCAAAGCACGTGATGAGGTCCTCAGGGTCTGCGGCTCACGTGATGTCCCCACTAAAGACCATGTCGTTAAGCTCAAAACGGTGCGTATTCTCTTTCTGTCTTATGCTCTGTATTATTTCAATTTCGGAAAATATTAATCCCTTTTTAAATTTTATAACCAAACAAAGTAAAAAACAAATCACAGATAAAAAGGATGAACTGGTAATGACAGTTTCCCTTACCGTTAATCATGGACTTTTTGTCGCCTATTATCTAAATTTTATAAGATTAAATTCTACATATATCAAGAAAAATAAATTTTGTATTTTACTGATTAAATGTACAACAACTTTTACCAAGTTATTATACAATGTGTAGTCTCGTTTTACCAGTATTATTAACTCAAAAACCTCAGAAAAGGTTCATAACAATAATTGCTAAAACTAAAACTTTCATAATAAAACTTACTTTTTGTTTTATGTTTGCTTGAATGTATCGAATAGTTTTCGCTTTGATCCGAGATAACCACTCGTCTAATATTTTATCCAGACATATCTACATCTAAAAAAAAAAGAACGGTGAAAATGAGAAGAAGACATGTTGATGTGTTTTTTTAATTTATCAAATTTGCAGTTGGGCATGATTCTAAACGAGTCCCTAAGGTTGTATCCACCAATAGTAGCTACGATCAGACGCGCAAAATCGGATGTAGAGCTAGGAGGGTACAAAATCCCCTGTGGCACGGAGCTTCTAATCCCGATTATAGCGGTACATCACGATCAAGCGATTTGGGGTAACGACGTGAGCGAATTCAATCCAGCTCGATTCGCGAACGGAGTTCCCCGTGCCGCAAAACACCCCGTTGGGTTCATACCATTCGGTCTAGGAGTCCGAACGTGTATTGGTCAGAACCTTGCCATACTTCAAGCCAAATTGACACTCGCTATTATGATCCAACGATCCACTTTTCACTTAGCTCCTACTTACCAGCACGCACCTACGGTCCTCATGTTGCTCTATCCTCAGCACGGTGCACCAATCACTTTCCGGAGGTTGAACAATTGCGAAGATTGCTAAGAGATCAACGATTTAGATTTGTTCAGGGGTTTCAAGCCTTGCAAGAAAAAATGTCTCAAGCTTTCAAAACTGACATGTCTCTTTTTCTACTGTCATTTTTAACCTCATAAAAATATAGTTTTAACTTTCAAAACCATTTTTTTTTTGTTCTTTCCATTTTTTTTAATTGTTTTTACCATCTACATCTGGGTTTGGGTTATGCTTATGTTTGATTTTTGCTATCTAGGACCAGGACCATGATTTATGTGAAAAAGAGTGCTAACAAGTATGTTAAAAATTTGTTTCAACTCACTATTTTGTATGTATTGTGACATATATATATATAATATATAGTTTGTAATTTCTATGCAATTTTCAAATCATGTTGTGACTCTGAATCTGAACTTTTGTTATGGAAACACATTACCATATATATATATATATATAATATTTGCATCTAGATGGTGGCATTCATGTAGGCAATATGGGCACACACACATTATGCATGTTATTGGGAAAAGTTGAGTGAGATCCGCAAGTTGGCTTGTCCAGAGGCGACAAAGAAAGGATCCACGAAAATTTAAACGTTACGTGGCAAACGGTCTAATGGGACGATTGTTTTTTTTTTCTTAAATAATAAGTAAGAGACATGAATTATAGTATTGAAATTCGAACACAATTTAACGGGACAACGATTGATTTTTATTGTTAGTACTAGTGTTTTGCTATGCTATACGCATGAGTTGTATAATTATATTGCAATTTTATAAAAATAATTGTTAATTAATTTTGTGTTTAATATTATAATAAATTATAGAATAGTATGTTTGCAAGTATTTTTTAATATAGTCGAGTAAAATAAATATTAGAGACACATATATATGTAAAAAAGTAATTGAAATCTTCATATAATAATTTGAAAATAGATCAATGTATTTTTTAGTTTAGTTAATTTTTTTAAAAAGTTAATGCATGTTTTTACAATATGAAATATGAAGAGTGAAACTTGACAGTTTTATAATAGATACAAGTTTGATGTGTGTTTTTATTATATATATTTTTTGTTTATATGAATAGTATATATATGAACTATATTATATTAAAAATTTATTATCTAATATTAATTTGGACATCTTACGTTATAATATTATTTCTTTCGTGAATACTATGAATATTTTTTTTACATTTTCAAAAACCTTTTGTATAATATTTTTTTCGCGAGATGCTTTTAAAAAGAAAAATTTAATTCTTACTCCATTTTTGTTTCATACTGTACCTTAGGATCTTGTTTTTAATTTTCATATAGCATGCATTTCTATACTTATCAATTTTTAAAGATTCAGTGTATACATAGATGTTTTATAATTAGTTCATATATTTAACGAAGAACAAAAATGGCGATTAATAAAAAAAAACTTCTACATTATATGAGTTCTTTATTAATTGATATAATGTTAGTTTGATAGTTACCTAGCTCGATCATTTGCCAATATTGGTTAAAAGTGTGAAACTTTATAGTTATATGTTATTTGAAAAATTTTTTTTTTTTTCAGTTTTATGTTTCATGAACTTTTGCAAATGAGAATTAAGAAACAGTGAGTAATCAATAACCAGTTCCTTAGTTAGGCTTTTACGTCGGTTTCTCCACAATGTCTAATTACAGCGAATAATATAAACTCTATATCAGCTTAGAAACTTGAGATCTGTTATAAAATCAAAAATTTATAATTGATTAAATTTCATTTCCTTAGAAGAAAGAAAACCGAGTTACTCCTCAAGTTTTGGTTTTGACGAGAGAGACATTCTCCAACTCCAATAATACTATGATTGAGACTCATTCTTACTCGACACACATTAATATATATATATATATATATATATATATGCAAAAAAGTTTGTGAGATTGTATTTTTATGTTGTTTACATCAATCTTAAGCATGAGACACATTAGGCTTTTACAAAGACAAGGCATGCTCTGTTGTGTTTTTAGTGTAATTTGTTTACTCCTATTTATGCAGGCTTAAACTCAAGAATATGAACTTCAATTGTCTTTTAAAAACTAGAGCATCATTAAAATATGCATTAGCATTAACATGTGGTTGCTCTTACTGAACCCCTTGATCTCTCAATTTTTTCTTATGGATTTCTCATTTTCCTCCGTCTTACCAATCCTAGAGCTCATTAAATGTGATTTCTGTCGGTCTTCAACTCTCAGCTTTTTCATCATAACAGGAGATGACTTTATATCTCTCTTTCTTCAGCCTCAAGAAGATACTTCCGAAAATTTTATCGAGGTGACTTTTCGTAAACCATAGGATATTATGTAATACGACATTCATTTGCTCTTGCTTTCTAGATAGAACTTAAGAAGAACAAATTATGAAGTCGTCGCAAACCTTGACATTCTTTTAGTGCGGATAGTTTTTTTCATCCAAACTGTCTGGAGAATAGAGATGAGAGGACAAATTAGAGAAAATTCCACTCTCAAAACCTTTGAGTCTGCGATTGTTCATGATTGATATTGTTTTTTCTGGCATAATCAAAGTTGGACCTGAGCTCTACAAAATGAAGCCTAAATTTGATGTAAATATTCTCAGTTGTGCAGGTATCATCAAAATTCAATGAATAGGGATTCTCCATATTTTGGGAGATTAGGTTTATGAATAATTGAATTTGAAGTTTTGGGCTACCTTACCACTGCTACATGAGGGAGACTCCTTGGTGTCGATCGTGGACGAAAGCAACGAGTTAGGTTTTGAAGACTTTTTGGCAGAAAGGAAACTTTGCCAAGAAGTTCACTTATTTACAATTTTATCATAATCGTGTTTTAGGTTTATAAATAGGAATTTAAGGTCATTGTTTATACCCAAGCTTTATTTTCACTGGACATTCATACAGATATTTGTAGTAGTGTTTTGGAGAGACAAATAAGACTTCTTGAAAGAAGATTTTGAACTCCTTTAATTTTTATTCTTATTTCTTTCATGCAATTTATTATATTCATGATGTTTGCTTTATTTACCAATGTCTGAATAATTTGCTAGTTAGTTTTTTTTGCTTTTTCAAAGGTTGATGATGAATTATTAAAATTGAATTATTGTTGGGATTAATCTGTTAGTTCTTCATATAGGTTTGTGTTTATTGCTTATTTTAGTTTCACGACCTAGAATCTGATATTAGATTGATTAATAGATGCGAAAGTATTGTTAATCACCAAAACTAATCATAGATGAGCAAAATATCTATGCTGAAAAGACCAAGTCGGAGAGCATATTTGAGCAGGGTGTCGATCGACACTGATCATGGATGCAAAAGTATTGCGTGTTTCAGCCGACTTTGGAAGAAAAGGAAACTTAGCCGAGAAGTTCACTTATTTATAATTTTGCCACACTCGTGTTTTGGGTCTATAAAAGAATTTTTATGGTCATTGTTTAGACCTAAGTTTTATTTTCTTGGAGATTTTGAGAGAGATTAAATCAAGAGCTTTGGTGAGAAAAATTCATACTCTGTTCTTGAGAGAATTTCAAACCCCTTTTTGTATATATCTCTTTTCTTTTATGCAATTTATTTCAGTCATGATTTGTGTTTCAATATCCATGATTGAGTAGTTTGCTAGTTAGGTTTTGGGTTTTTCAAAGGTTGATTATGAGATGCTAACATCGATTTACTGTTAGGATAAATCAATATAGTTCTTCATCTAGATTGCTTTATTAATGTTTCTAGGATTGGTCATCTTGAATTCAGATCTTAAGTTGATTAATAGATGCGATAGTATTATTGATCACCAGAACTATCTTAGATGAGCGAGCTTCCTATCTGCAAAGAGATTTAATTTTGGAATTTTGTGAACTTATCGAACCTGATTTTAATGCTTGTCTAAATTGTTTGAATTTGTAAAGAAATTTGAAATTCTAGGATCTAGACATAGCAAATCTGTGCAGCGGGAGTTGGTTTATTTTATAGTTTATGTTTCAAGTTCTAGAATAGATCTTAATAAATATCCTGATAGATTTCGAGGAGCTTCATGAGTTTGAAGAAGACTATGTTATTGGGAATGAGCAGTGTTTATCGACACCCACCCAATGGTGTCGATCGACACCCGTTGAAATTCCCGACTCTTTGAGTCGTGGAGGGCTTATCGACCAGGATCGACAAGGATCAATTCGGAGCGTCGACACCAACATCAGAGACCAGTGTCGATCGACACCCACCCCTTGGTGTCTATCGACACCCTTCACAGACGAAACAAGCTATTGTTCAGACTTCAGAAAATGTAGAAGAAAGGATATACAAGCCGAAAATACCTTACCCAAGAAACCTAAGGATGCTAGGATCAAAGCTATCATGGATAAGTTTGTGGTTGAGATTCCATTGGTTGATGCTATGAGAACCACTCCTGTGATTAGGATGTTGACCAAGAACTTGAGCCATGAGGAGGGAGCAATGCTGATTTCTGAACAAGTTAGTGCTGTGATTCAGAACAAGATTCCAGAGAAGCTCACAGATCCTGGAAGCTTTGTTATAGACTGCACAATCTTTACAGAAAGATTTATGAGATCTTTGTGTGACTTGGGTTAAAGTGTCAGTCTTATGCCTCATTCAGTTGCTGTCAGTATTGGGATGACAGATTTTCAGCCAACCAGAATCTCCCTTATCCTAGCAGATCGATCTATAAAGATCCTATAAGGTGTTTTAGAGGATGTTCCTGCTAAGGTGAGAGACTGCATGATTCCCACTGACTATGTGGTTCTAATCTATGGAGAAGAACCCAAAGATCCTCAAATTTTGGGAAAGCTATTTCTAGCTACTGCAGGCGCCATTATTGATGTAAGGAAGAGAAGCATAGCTTTGAATGTGGGTGATTTGGTCATGAATTTTAACATGGATAAGCTGATGAAGAGACCAACAGTCGATGGCCAAACAGTATATGTGGACTCCCTCACAAACCTTGTAAAATAAAATTTCCAAGAGATGAATTCTGCAGATCCTTTGGAATGGGCATTGATTACTTCTGCAAAAGAAGCAAAACATCTGGACGACATGGCTGCTGGGTATGTCATGATGTTGGATGCAAGTGAGCAAGTCATGCAATTGGTTGAACAAGAAGAGTTGGTTGGAACTTCTGAAAAAGCTGCAGAACTCAATGACTGGAGCGAGGATAAAGCTCCCAATATCGAGCTCAAACAGCTCCCTGCAGGACTAAGATATGCTTTTCGTGGACAGAACTCTACTTATCTTGTTATTGTCAATGCTTCTTTCAACAATGCAGAGCTCGCCTTACTGCTAAGTAAGCTGCACAGATTTTACAAAGCTCTTGGTTATTCTCTTCATGACATTTCAGGTATCTCTCCAGACTTGTGC